TTGAAGAAGGCTTCATGATACAGCACCATTAAAGAAGACCAAGGTTGTAACATGCATACGGGAATATCCAATGCCAGTTGCACACTAAAAAAAAAAAAGAAAAAAAAGAACTATGGAAATGTTTGTGAACATCCACACTAGCTTTCATTTAGCCAGCTTGTGCAATGGTGGCTATCTAGTCATAGAAGTAGAGCTAACCATAAACTAATCTAAATCCATTTGTACCCTTACAGAGGAACACAAGCACTACAGAGAGCATAAAGGACCCCTCTAAGCATACAGACCATGCAGCCAATTATCTTCTATTGTTTTATAGCATCATTCTTTATAAATACAGGTTAGCAAGTTTTACTAAAAAACTTTATTTTCTAGTCCCTTTCCTTTTTGCTTTTAATATTCCTGAACTTTGCCAAAGAAACCGCTGGTACTTTAGTGTCAGTATTTTACTTCCTTTGCCACTTTTTAACATTCAGGTTGGAAATATATCTAAATGGAAACACACTTTCTTTATATGTTAATTTTTTTTATTATTATTTCATCTGGACAGATATGTCACTGATAATGGCAGTGTTAATGAGTTACATAAAATAATAAAAAGGCAAAATCTCCTATGGACAGCATTTTGCTATTATCTTTATAAAAGTGACTACAATTAGTGATAAATTCCTATTATTTCTCTTACTGGAGTACATTTATGAGGTCACAGTTACAAGCAGAATGGGACTGCAAAGGTTAGAAGTTGCCTAAAAGACTTTTCAGCCGAATATGAAAATCTAAAAAAGAGTTTCTTGGGAGACTGCTCAGCTTGCATACTATAAACGAGCATTCTCATGTAAACACTAATATAAATCAAAGCTTAGGCACATACACTATTTAAAAATATCTAATTGATTTGTAATTTATCAAAAAGAGAGTTTAAAAGCCGATCAGAAGCCTTCCCTTCTCCAAAAGTGTCCTAATCAAAGAAAATGCCAAGAAAACTTAACATGCAGAAGAAATGAAGCTAGATTTAGCATTTAATACAAATTTCTGCACCGCTTTTATGAATCTGAATAATACTGAAATCTGTTGCACAACCCCTAGCTTTTATGCATCTCAACTAAGATTTTGTTACAAAAAAGTGAAATTATTTCCAATTCTTAGTGATATGTCCCTTTATGTATTTTTTCTTTTATTAAACATTCAACAAATAAATAGCATAGAGGCCAACAAATGTTTTTTATGCGCATGAAGGTATTGTGAATCTGCTTTTCTGCCCTTTTAAAAAGGCAGCTGCAGATCATTAATACATTTACCTACTTTTAGAGTCTAGAGGATTCCCCTCAACACCCTTAATTATCATTGTATGAGAAACGCAGCTCTTTCTATGTAACCCTATATACCTCCAAAATGTTCTAGGCTGAAGTTCCAAAAATTATACTTTCCAATTCAACATACACTTTTGAAAATCAGACCTTCCATTTCTTGTCTTCAGTTGTCCAAAAGGTGCAAAGGTTTTCTCGTAAAATTCAAATCTGATTTCAGCGCAGTTGCCTGAAAGAGATTTTTCTTACTCTGTTCCATACTCTGTGAAACTATTACACTAATTATCAGGAAAATATACTTTTTTTTCTTTTAACCAAGAACTTTGAAGCACTGTTATTCAGTGAAACAGGAACAGCTACAAATTAAGAATTTTGTGCATGGAATTAAATCAGTTATGTTCTCAAGTATTTAAACTAATAAATTTTCATACTAATTTCTTTATTTGATCATGAAGAATTCATCAGAAAGAACGCATCTGTAGTATCATGTCCTTCAATGTAGAACTCTTAGTAACTTTCTGAATTTAAAAAATCCAGTCTTTCAGGATAAGACAGGTTTATAAGAGTTGTGTTCTTTCCACTCACGTACAACAGAGATGGAATCTTTGTCTATGTTGCTTCTCAAACTACTAATCAGGAATCACTACCACAGGAAATGCCTCTATGGAGGCTGCTTAATGACATAGGTTTTAAATAAAGAAGACTCTAGGTCAGCAAGTGGTGGCCATCAACTTCTTTCTTTGTCAACTTCTCCACTGCCTCTCGGAGAAATACCAGGCCCTTGTAAACAATAATAGGTTGTAATAAAGAGTTCTTAGCATTATATCCCCCTTCAATCGTTTATTTCAGGAACAAGTACAAATCAATCCAACCAAAGCCCCTTGGGCACCCAATACACACATCAGACAGAGCTACGTTCTATAATTATGCGTAGTTTTGCATTTGTTAAGACATACACAATTATCAGACACAAACAAATCTTTTGAGAGCAAATATCTGAAAGCTGCAGTTATCTTCCTCATATGGAGTAAATATATTCCTTAGAGAACACATTGTACAACAAATTAAAAGAGATTCATATGTCTATCAGACAGAAGTTTCTTGGTTTTGCTCCCAAGACTTAAGTGTGATAGCTAAAGATCCGGGACTCAGAGGCACTAATTTTAATAGCTGTTCTCAGTTGCAACTAATAAAGATGTAAATAACAATTTAGAGACATCTAAAACTGAATGAGGATTTAGGACACAAAAGTATCAACTGCAACACAAAATATTTCAAATTACCTTTTTTGTTTATCCCACTGTTTAGAAACTTATTTGTACCAGTTCTTGTACTTTTATGCAGGATAAACCTGACTGCTCCACCAAAAAGGAAGTGACTGTGCCTGTAATTCAACTAAGATAGTAACATCAAAACTTATCACAAGCATCTTTGTATCTTCCCAACAGGCTGCAGATAATTGAGTTGGTTCACTGATCAAAATCTTATTATCTTTTTTGGTTTTAAGACTATAAATCAAACCTATGCAGGAAAATATGTATATATATATACTGCTTTGGATGAATAATTTTAGCAGTAGTCCAAGTGCTAATAAAGGGTTCTTCAGGCTGGCTGGTTGACAAAAAATTTGTCCTCGCTTGATTTACAGTAGTACAGCAATATATTACATTGTGTTTTGCCAGAACTTAATATGACACACACAACAAAGTCTGGAATTAGTCAGATCTCTACTCCTAGCCTCAAAGCAATTTGCTTTGCCAAGGTTAGCTACTGTGCAACTGCAGCTCCCACTTGAGTTTTACACCTCTACAATATTAGAATAAACATAGAAATATGGGCTTTACAGTCACTTGTGGTCTTCTGTCTTCAGTTGTGGAAGAAACAATGATACCCCTAGCTAACTAACATCATAATACAATATCATATTGTCAAAGATATTATAGACACTTAAATGTGACCGCCTCCTACGACTTCTTCTCTACAATCTTCTAACTGTGTCAAATTTCATTATCTACATTCTACTTCATAGTAAATAACATTACATTTTACGGTATGCGTTCATGTTAGATTTTAAAAATACAGTGCAAGAAATCAAAGTAATACACAAGATGGCTACCAATATAATCATGCATTATATTATTATGTAGCACAAATTATCAGGCATTAGTTTCTTTTCAAATTGATTATTAAATAACAGGAGCATATGAAAGTTGAACTCTCAGAAGAATTTCGATCTATTTAGCTACAAGTGCATTAAAACACTCTTGTAAAAGGCATTGTTAAATTGTTTTGTGATTTTTTTGAAGAGTTACCTTTAGCAATTCTGATAAAATAAATCATGTATTTAATAAACCTAGTGTAATTGTCATTAAAATATATTCCTGACAATGAAATATATTCTTATAACTTTATATTTGCTTTGAAGTGAATATTAAGATATTGAAATTATAACACCAGATCAATTCATTTTCCTATATAAAGATGTGATGTCACATTGTGTAGGGAAACCTATATGAGATCCCTGAAAGCACAGAAAGGACCAAAGATGAGTCCCGTTAAAGCTTAGAGTAACTCTTAGCATCTGAACAAAATCTGGAAGCTTAGATACTCCTTTGAGGACAATAGCATATTAGAAATCATTACAGATCATTGTATTTCCACAAATCTCAAATTCTCTTCTGACCTCTGTAATATCTTTGTAAATGCATTCCAACTCCACGTTTCAAAGAACAGCAAATGTTATTTGTTACCTAATTTTTAATCACTTTTTTTTTTTTTTTCATTATTGCTGAGAAAAAAAAATCTGCTTTGTTTTGGGAAATAAATGAAAACAACTATCTGTATAAACACCCTCTCATGTCACTTCTTGAACAGAATTTTTCATTTTAATATTAAATCTACTGGATCTTCCCTAAAGAAGAGAGAAAATACTGACGTAAAAGAGCATTTAAATTCTAAAACACAGACATGCAAATTCTCATTTTGGAAATTTCAAAATATTTCATTTAAAATTTTTCTGAATTAAACCCTCACCTCTACTTCTTCAAAAGACATATTTTGAAATAGACATAATTTAAAAAGGAAACTTCAAAATCATTTACAAGCCCAAAATACAAACTCATAAGCATACATGCAATATAAGGACTTTTTACTTTGGCTTGACATTAAAATAATTTTATCATCCCAACAATGTGCTTAGTAAAAATCTGTAAATGTTAGTTATATTTAAGCCAAAAAAGCCATTATTCACTTATTCCTCCATCAAAGTTAGCTTCAATACAACTAAGACTATCTCCGATCCTAATTACAGTCTGTATTGATTAAATAATTAATGACACTAAACGACACAAGTGCCAGGAAATATTTTAAAAGTATCCACTTGAAGCAGTGATCACCATTCTAACGCTGGAAACATTTCAGTGCAGAATGGAGTGATATGTGATATGTCCATTTGTCTGGACATAACTAACATGAAGATTTTTGTTAAAATTAAGGCTTACTACTCTTATGCTACTATATAACTGCTGTCATAATCCCTGCCCTTCCTGACAAGGCTTGACAGTGATGATGCAATATACATTTAAAAGGGAACAAAATAGGTCTCTATACTACAAGTAAAAATGATGGAAGACTGCTGAGTCTTTGATCACTGGCATTATCCAGTAGCACTATCTGAACCAACCCTGCATTATTTACCCTGTAGGAGTTCGGATAACAGCACGCCCCGCAGATGGAACAATATCTCCAGTCAGCATTTTAAATGTTGTGCTTTTCCCAGCTCCATTTGTTCCCAGGAGTCCAAAGCACTAAGGGAGATAAAAAAAAAAAAAAAAAAAAAAAAAATTGATCTACTACATTGCGTTAACTCTTCAATGGGTATTTTTCATATTTCCTGTCTTGTTTGTAAAATAGTTAATATGATTGTTTAGTATGTGCAATTCCTTTTTCAACAGAAAATAAATTTCAAATAAAATAAAATGCTTTGATTACCTCTTACATTCCTTCTAGTGACTTATCTAGTATTCTAGCCCTCCACTTAAACCCCTGTTCTACAATTTAATGCATTAGTTATCAATTTTATTATAAAGTGCTAGAATTGAACTTGAGGTTTTCACATCCAATTTGAGAGCCAGTCTATAGAGTCCATATTTCTCAGCTGTTTCACTTTGTACAAGTTAATAACAGTGAACATCCTAGATAATGACTCCAAACAGAGCACCACTGCAAAGAATACCTTCTTAAGTAATGGCAGTGTTTGCATTAAGACTAAAAATAGCACTCCACAACTTTTAAAATACTTGTTTCATTAACTGTTTTACTGATAAATAGTCCGATGATTTCAATATGAGAAATACAATCTTGCCTGGGGACAAACTCAGGATCCTATCCACAATTTGCATTTGAGTTAGATATTCTTTGATTTCTCTTTGGACACTGAACTGCTTTGCTACTCCCTGGTATTTTATTATGTTAGCCAATAAAACATTAACTTGCTTAAGATAAACAAGATAAAAGAATTAAGACTCTAATACAGCGTTGAATAAAATAAATAAAAACAACAACCATGCAAACTCTTGCTTCTGGAAGATCACAAAAAATTCTACTCTTATCAAGTTATTAATTTTCAGAAATTGCTACAATTAAAACTGTTCTACTGCTATCTACCATACTTTGATTGCAGATATGCAGGTCCGAACAACTGTTCAGAGTCAAGAGTTACTCTGAAAGAAAAAAAAGTCCTCTTTACCTCTCCCTTTGTTATTCCCAAGCTTATGTTTTCCACAGCTGTGTTCTTCTTATTGAAACCTCCATAACACTTCCTGAGATTGTACAGAAGAAGGACATCATTACCAGTTCTTCCCCTAGAAAGTCGCTGTCGCTCCATTTCTACATCAGTGTCCTCTGATGGATTGACCACACTGTTAACTAAATGCTGACCCCTAAAATAGAAAGTGACAACAAATTGGACATTACTATACTCTGAGTATTTCCTTAATTGCAATCCTTCAAAGACTGTTGATTCAACCTCTGCAGAATCCAAGGAAGACAGAAAGTATTTGTGTTTTTTATACATCACATAATTGTTTAAATTTTTCTCCTCCCTAAAACATAGTTGTACTCTATTACTCATAAGAAACAGCAACTGGGACTTTAGACTGAATATAAACACATTGAAGCAGTACTTATATCAGAAAAGGAAATCCTTAGTTCAAAATGGGAGCATGAGAGCATAAAATCATCATATATTTTAGTTCAAATAACTTAGAAACAAATAAAACAGACTCCCCAGATGAATGGAATGCTACCAATTTCTTACATTAAAAATTAGTCAACTGTCCACTATGGCAGAACACAAATGATAACACACACACCTTGGTTTCTGGTGGAGATCCCAATGGAAAAACAGCCGTAAAAGAAGAAGAACTGTTCCCTGTAGGGCCATTTCCACAAAAATCCATCCCAGAAAATTCATTTCAAAAGGGCTTATATATGAATCTATTCCAAAGTTGCTGGTTATGTCAAATTTGATCTGGTTGTATGAAAGTTCTATTAAACCTTGGCCTAAGCAGAATTGTGGAAATATGATAAATGCCCATTTAAGGATCTTGTAGATGTTCTGAAAGCTCTTAAAATTCAGCAAGAAAAAGAAAAAAAAGGAAAAAACGTGAGTTTTTTCTAATCAAATATTAAGGACTTTCACTAAGCTGGATACAGCATTCAAATCTCACTCAAGGCAAACTGATTTCAGCAGAACGTACTGTGAACTCTTTTGAAACAACAATCATCTCTTACTATGTGTTTTAGAATGTCTAAATTTTAGAGTGCCCATAGCTATGGAATACTAGTGAAGGTTGACATTTACAGACAGTGACAGAAGAGACACATGGCTGTGATCATTTCATTTACTTAAAATATTAATATCTAAACGTTATTAATTCTAAATCATTTACTTAACACCAAGTCAGTGTCCTTCCAAACTTGAGTGATGTATAATCCATATTTGGCTTCAAACAGCAAGTTTTTGATTTAATACGTGCATAGGTAGTCAAATACACATTCTGAATTTTTCTTCATCAGGTTATGAATTAATTGTATATGTAGAATGAGAATGCATATTTCTACCCAAACAGTGCATTACAGATCCTAGAAATAAGCAGATTATCTCCTATGTAAATATTATTCAAAGCCATTTTACAGTGTATATAACCTATTCAAATGGATCTGAATAGCCTCTATTGTGACGAATTACAACTTAATTCATTATTACAGTACAAGCTACATCTTTTTTTTTTCTAGTTATAAGCATGTCAAAACTCAAGATAGTAATAAGCAGAACAACATATATGGAGATAAAAAAAAAATCATGAAGGTTTAAGATGGCTAAATTTTCTGCTGGAAGTGATCTTGTCTGTGCACATGTAAATATATATATATATACATACATATCCATATATGAGGGCTGCTCCAAAAGTAATGCCAACCTCTCTTCTATTTCTTTCCTTAATGTTGGCCCACAACATCAGAAGCAGACGTTGGTACTATGGCAGTAGAGACCGAACCTTCCCACCAAAATCCCATTACATTTACTTGCTGTGACAGATGGCAGCAGAGGGGCACTCTGGCAAAATGGCATCTGACATGAAAGCGCAGATTAAGCAAAGGCATGGAACTGAATTCCTCCATGCAGAAAAAAAAATTGCACCCACCGACATTCCTAGTCACTTGCTGAACGTAGATGGAGACCAAGCAGTGCATGTGAGCACAGTGAGGCAAAGGGTGGTGTGTTTCAGCAGCAGTGACATTGGATCACCTTCAGTGGTGCAGATTTTCAGAAGTGTGACATGCAGGCCATTGCTGTCAGAAGTCCATAGCTAATGGTGGTGGCTATGTTGAAAGACAGTGTTTTGTAGCTGAGAATTTGTTCTATCAAATAGTGCTGTTGTGCTCTGTGTTAATCTCTTGTAGTTTCCATGGAAATAAAGAGGAGGCATTACTTTCAGCAGGACCTGTGTACATGCATAGGCATGTACACATACAGATGTATGTATACTTCTCACATACAGTAACACAAAGCTAAGGTTTCATTCTCACCTGGACTTTGGAAATTATAGCTAACAAACGAGGTAGGAGAGTCACCAGCATGGTACAAAGGCCAAACACAAAGTTTAAGGAGATGTAAGAAATAAAAGCTACATCTGGACTTGAGAAGAATCTGGATACAAGATACATCCATGGTAAAGTTGCATATCTGAAATATTTTTAAAAGAAACAAATTTATCACACACACAAAAAAAATAAAAAATAAGAAACTGTTGATAAATTGAGAAAGGAAAAAAATTGAGAAATATTTTTTTTTTTATCTACTCACTTTATGATTTTATAGACATACACATACCTGCTGCCCTAAGATGGACAGACATGAACAATTTTGCACATTTCAGCTATAAATGTAAAACTATACTTTCACCATTTCAGAGTTCACTGTCTTGATTTCCAAATTATTGCAAAACCATGCATCTTTTAACAAACATTTTCTCACATATGAAACTTAAGCACAAAGGATGGATGGAAAGACTTTCCTTTCCCACTATACTATTTGGAGACAGATCTTCAACCGGTTCAGTACTCCATGTTGGACAGCCATTTCACTGGAAATATAAGTTGCCAGAGATGTGTAAAACTACAGAATTAAATAAAACAGGCAGAGTTGTAACAAAGTACAGCCACTACTTTTCTTTGTGATGATCTGCAATGCTAAGTACTAAAATTCTGACCTGGCTGTCATTATTCCCTCCTTCCTGTAAGGTAGCATGTGGTCAATTTCTAATGGCAAATGATTGACTTTTACAGTTCTTTTATTATTTCCTAAGTGAGCAAGAAAATTCCACCTCCTCACCCTTTCATGTCAAACTTTCAAACTCGCATTTCAGTCTGTTTTCTCACTATCTTTTGAAGAATCATAATCATTTCCAAAGAGAGAAAACCATGCATTCAGCAGCAGGTACAAAGCAAGTGTAAAGATTTCTCTTTGTTTTCTACAAAACGTAATTCCATAGTAGCACTTCCAATCACATACCCAAAGAGAACCAGCAGGATAACAGTGGCTGCCAAATTGTTTCGAAAAGTGAAGGCTGATAGCTGGAAAGCAGTAATAACACCAACACACAGGGTGACGGGTAGCATATAAAACAGCTGGAAATACATGAAAAAAAGAAAAAGGTACTTAGCAGGTGAGCATTTTTTACTGGTCTTCCTTAATGAGCATAGAAGAGCTCTATAAATTAACTTTTCCATATTTGAAATATAATTATAGAATTAGGGATTAGGAAGTATTAGGCAGAAGAGCTCTGCTATTCCATACTCCAATGCTGGCTGTGAAGCACTCTCTTATATGTGTACACATTAGATTTACCCTGACAAAATAAAATACATCTACAGAATATTTCCCCTAATTTTGATTCTATTGACCTTTCCAATACATCCTTTTAACAAGCTAACCCTTCCAGATAATGAGTCCATATGGGACTATTGCTCCAAAACATCCAATTGTATTGTGAATACACTGTCTTGGATCCAGAAGGAATAGTTTCATTGATTTATATATCAGTCACAGGAGACCAGTAAGAACACAACTTTGAAAGAGGCGTTAATGAAGGACTGTATGTGTTGATGAAGCCAAGAACAGCTTTTTAATAGGAACAGGTGTAATATTTACAAGAGTTGGAGGCATTAGGCAACAGAGGAAGCAGTTTCAATTTCATCTCCCGAGACAACACTGAAAGGTAGAAGAGTGGGAGGATGTAACTGGTACAAAATTTTCGCATCCAAACAGACAAGAGAGATGGGTTCTGCTCAAATCAAGCAATGGCAAGATATAAAAATTTGCACCCAGCTCCATTCTCAGCATCTGTCTGTTCTGTTCGTAGAAGCTGAGTTGCAAATGACTGCCTCCATTCCCATGCTATACATCAGTTAATCTTATCCTAACATGTGCGGGCTGCTCCAAAAGTATTGCCTCCTATTTTGTTTCTTTTCTTTTCCTTAATGTTGGCCCACAACGTCAGAGGCAGACGTTGGTACTATGGCAGTAGAGACCGAACCTTTCCACCAAAATCCCATTACATTTACTTGCTGTGACAGATGGCAGCAGAGGGGCACTCTGACAAAATGGCATCTGACATGAAAGCGCAGATTAAGCAAAGGCATGGAA